GAGCTCAGGTTTAAGATAGCACAGGGCACACTGAGCCCTTCCTCAGGATGTTTGGTCTCTCTGCCCAGCAGAACTCCTAAACTGAGCTGGAATATCAGGAATTACAAACATGTGGGYTRAGGGGCACAGGRGRATGCACAGAGGGTACAGAAAGTGTAAAAAGGAAAAGCAAAAATCATCAGGCATCAGTAGGAATATACAACCCTGCAGAATGTTAATGTGTGCTTAATTTCATTAAAAGGTACACTGGAACTGTGATCCATAGAGCGTAATCATCCATTTCCCCTTGGACTCTGAACCTGAGCTCTCCTGCCCGTTAATCTCAGTTTCASTGTCAGGTCAGGGTTATTCTGGAGCTGCCCAGTGCCATGGCAGGAGGGGCTGCAGGGCTGTTTTTGGGCTTTGCTGGTGGACACAGCCCAGTCTAAGGAACAGCTGTGTGTAGGTCCAGCTTAAAAACCAGTGCTAAGCCAAGGGACAGGAATGTTTTACTTTAGACTCTGCAGCATTGCATTGCATTTACTTTAGACTGCATGTCCTGGGTCTGGCTGGGCTTGGATCATGAGCAAAGCAAGCCTGGGCCTGACTGGTGGGTGCTGTGCAGGAAGGTCTAAAGCCCTTCCTGTCATTTTTGGGGCAGGCAGGCACTTTATGCTGATTTCTGGAACCCTGATTCATATGGCAGGTTTAAGCACAGCCTCTCTCCTAGGTTGCTGTTTTCCTTTCAGCACAGATTTCATTTCAGACTGTTTAGAGCATCTTGGATTTGTCATCTCTTGTGTCTGCTATCAGAGGATAGCAATGGATGTTTGCAGTGACAGGGCTGTGCCAGTCTGGGTGCATCTCCCTCCCCAGGGCTTGTTTAGAATTCCTGTGGAACAAAAGACCATTCCTTTTGCAGTGTCTTAAACTAAGAAATTTGGATGTAACATGGGAACAGTGCAGAGAGTGCTCTCTCCTCTACAGAAACATTTAAGATACTGTTCTGTGTTGCCTCCTAGCTGAGATTTGTCTGATTGTATCTTAAAGTATTCATCTTTAGCTATAAGYACAGTCCAAATGTGCAGCACTAATATTTTCCATATTTGTACTCACAGTGGTGTAGGTGAGATGCTGTGCAATTGAGGGCTGGCTGTTCCAGGTGCTGATAACTGTTGGTTTCAGTTGTAAGGACAATTTTCTAATTGGTCTGATTTACCTGGGCTGGAGTAACYGGGTTCTGGAAGCTTGCAGAGAGGCCCAAGGGTGTGCCAAATTCTGTTCAAAACAGAGTAGATTTAAAACCAAGGCTAGGCCTGGCATGAGGCCAGAACTGTGAAGATTTCAGTCTCTTTCCAGGTTATTTCTATCTTCCTTTATATTAAAGATGAGAACAGCTGCAGTTGCTATTATTAAACTCAGCATGCTGTATTTTAACAAGCAACATATTCCAGTACCATAATAAAAAAAAGGGCAATTAACAGGTAAAGGGTGTAATAGGGTGGAAGTAGAAAATCACTGGTAATTGTGAGTAATAGTGGCCACAGAAAATTGTTCCCATTGACAAACACTGGGGTATTTAAAATGTTCTGCACTGTGATTACTCAAATTTAGTAAAAAACATGTTGTAGGCCTCCTCATTTTATRTGCCTGGCTTTCATGAAGTATCTGAASTGTGTTTGAATAAAGGAAAAA